ATCCAGTGCCAAGCAAGTACTCTACCACCAAATGCAGTTGTTTTTATGATTTTAGTTGAGAGTTACAGTTCATCTGGGAAGTTATTTCTTGATTTTCTACCCAGAAGTGTCAGGAGGTTCCCCAAAGGTAGGAAGATATGGAGACAATGGGAAAATGAAACTCTATCCTCTGGCTTTTCCTTATGAGAAGGTAGCAGTCACATCTCTTTGGTGTTTTGGACTTGAGAGACAATTCCAGACCTGTTTCTACTGTAGTAGGGAAACTAGGCTATTTAACTGGAATGATTTCGGAAAAATGTCTTCTTACATTCCAACCACCCTTTGTGGAGTTGGTGAGGCCTAATATGTTCTACAAATTTTCAAAAAAATTTTTCCTTGATCTTTTAGTTCATAGTCATAAAAGGGAATAACAATCAAATATTTAAATATTTCTCTTTCAGCATAAGACAGAACTTAACAAACTGCTCTCCTGTCTGCTTCCATAGTACCTCATAAAGCTCTGGTCATACATGTATTTTACCTGGGATCTAAACTGCATTTAGTGTTTTCTAAATTGCATTGTATCCTATCTTCATAGTTTTTTTTTTTTTTTGCCAGATTCACATACTATTTGTACCTTTATTAACATACTGTTTTTTTTTTAAATAAGGAAAAGAATCTTTAAAGTAAAGTATTTAAAAATGTTCATACTTCGGTTATGGTTTACATCTGGTGTCCGCCCAAAGACTTTAACTCAGGCACTGGGTTCAGTGCCTTTCTCTCTTTTCCACAGAGAAGGAGATTAACAAATGCTAAAGAGGTGTTAAAGATGGACTAGCACCAAGTTAAGACTTTCTTGATATAAGAGAGCTTGTGGAACATTGGAAGGGGAATACTATTCTTGGCCCATGATTTTGTGCTATTAATTTCTAAGTTTCTACACTTGTCAGTGTGGGTGCCACCAGGGTCGTCCTACCACTTCAGGAAGCCCTAATTCCTCTATGGTTAGCCATTAATTTTTTTGTATCCCTGCTAAACTGTGAATTCCTTGATGGCAACAGATTATTCTTGGTGCCTTCTGCACCACACATGATGAATGCTTGGACACAGTAGTTCATGGAGGAACAAAGTGATAGCAAATAAAAGTCTTCTTCAAGAGCAAAAGACACAGGGCAAATTCTTTACTGTGAGGCATGTGAGAAAAAGTGCTAGAAAGGCTCAAAGTAAAAAAGGAGTAAAACAGAGACAACCAAGAAGAGGGAGGTTGTGGACTTCTAGGATAAACCACAGGGCACAATGATGTTGCCTGGTGTGGTGTTTGAAGACAGCATAATGTAGTGCTAACAGCTTATGTTTTAGAGTTAGATGGTTCTGAGGTCAATCTAGACTCTACCAATTACATGAACTTGGGCAAATCATCTTTGTTTTGCGGCCTTAATTACTTCCTGTGAAGCAGGGACAATACCTCTTTTACCAAGACTTTTACCATAGTTTTAGAATGGGGGAGGGTTTAGGAGGCTGGAAGCAAAAGAAGACTTTGCTATTAGAGGATATCATTCAGCTATCTATAGTCTGTCTGTTTATCTAACCATCATCTCTATCCATCTTATATCAGTCTCAGTAAAGTTTGACATTATTATTACCATCTTGTTTTGGTAGAAAAATCACTAATAATATGGTTACTGGCACATTCTGTGCATTCAATGAATGTTTATTGATCAAAAGAGTTACACTGATCTGTGATTTTCCTCCAGGAAATTCTTTCTCCAGATTTCCCTGTTGGGAGCATTTCTACATAAATTTTTGGGGAAAAAAATCCTTTCATAATTAAAGAATGACTATAGCTCTCTAAGGCCCAATGTTGCCTTGCCCGAGAGCCAGCTATGGCATGCAGAAACAACTCTGTTTGGCCTTGGGTCACAGCGGAGGCCTCAATGGTCCGTGATGCTGTGGTGCTCAAAGCCATGATAACATCAGCTGAAGACATCCTGGTTCCTGGAGAATCCAGTAATAATACAAAAGAGAAAGTTTTCACCTGGCCAGGGATGAGTTCCTTATCAACTCAATTCATCCCACCTACTGTCCTGGGAATGCTCTCCTTTCTGCCCTCATCAACATGAGATTTGTATCTACATAGGATCACCACCACCCCCTAAGTCACCCGATACTCCCTCCCATTATTGTGTGTACCCAACAAATAGTGGCTAGCTCAGAGAGGCCTTGTCTTTTGGCCTCTCCAGGCACTAACCTCCTGATATACTTTGAAATTACACAAGTCTCTATTGTCTTTTTTTCTTTAACCCTCTCTGTCCCTCTTTCTAGGCAGTCAGAGGAAATTGGCCTCCAATACTTCCCTAAGTATATGCCTCTATATTTCTAGATATTTAAGTCAGTAGCTTTGATTCCTTGATTTATTATAATAAGTACTAGGGTTAAGGCACCATGTGAGGTGCTGGGGTGGGGGAGTAGGGGGCGCTTGATAAGCTGGACCTAACCATGTCTCTTAAGGATGTTGGAGGTAAAGGAAGCAGGAAGACTTGTCATGTGTCCAACTTTCCACTCATCTTCAGCTGTGGCTTGTACATGGGGCATTTTAATGTGTTTTGGCAACACTGTGACAAACATAGAGTACATATAATCCACAACCACATGAACTGAGAAAAGGATGAGATTGAGTGTAGGCTATGTGAATGCCATACTTTGGAATTCTCATTATTTGTGAAAAGTGGGAAGGAATAATACTTGTTTTGAATTCCATTATGATTCTCCCACTCTGGATCAGCTTTCTGTAGAGCAGTGAAGTGACCAGGAGTAAGAATTCCTGGCATAGGGAAGATGGTTGTTGGCTACATCTTTTGGAAGCCAATTCACAGATGAGTGAGCTGCTTACTTCTACTGAGTGTGGGCTGTGCTTTAGATATTCATGTGTCTATATAAAGAACGGTTTCCAAAAATTCTGTGACTCTGGATTCACCGTGACTCATCAGGTCCCTGTTTTAGACTGAATGCACACATGTGTGTATGTATGTTTGCATGTGTGCATGTTTTAAAAGAAGAACTTTAGGCAGAAAGCATGTGTGTACTTGTAAAAAGGTGTTTGAAATGTGTGTAGGAAGTTTTTTTAAATGCAAGAAAGTGTAGATGGAGGAGAAAGTGTGTGTGTGCTTTTGTGTATGTGTGTGCATAGTGCAGGTGGTGGGCAGAATTACATGACCAGCCAACCTCTTAGTGATTCACAGTATAAGATGTAAAGTGTATAACTCTTTGGGAAGATATTTAGAAGGGGAAACATGCATACCCATGCTTATAACAGCACTATTCATAATAGGTAAGTGTTTGAAGCAGCCTGTATGTCCATCAACAGATGAATGGATAAAGAAAATGTGCCATTTGCACAAAATGGAGTACTACTTTGCCAAAGGAAAGATAAACTTGAATAATTTGTAGGAAAAGGGATGTACCATGAGACCATAATGTTAAGTGAAATAAATCAGACACACAAGCTTAAATATCACATGGTTTCTCTTATAGGAGAAACCCAAATTACAAATAGAAAAATAAAAGACATATTTAGGAACTAGGGAAATACAGCTTTCTCAAATCAGAAAGGAGTCAAGAGAAGGAGGGGGGAGGGAAAGGGTAGAAAAGGAATTGGGATGTGTTATGTGCATGTACCAACTCCCAACAAGGAATGTAAATATCAAGCATAAAAAAGGAAAAAAAAGATATAAAATGTTGTACGAGGGGATTGTTTTTCTTTCTGACCAGCACATAGGTCTTTGAGGAGCACTCGACTTTCTCCTTCCTTCTTGTCTTGTTAAAAAGGGATTAGAGTCCAATTAAGCTGCTTAATCCCAAGGTAGAAATTCACGTTTAAAAACAAGAATTACAGCTTCTTGAAAAAATACATCAGTGCAAGTTGAGGTTTGTCCTTTCAAGTTGCCACCTGCACGGTTCCAAAGAGTGTTTCAGCTGAACACCCAACATGCAGTTCTTCTTAATTACTTTGGCTCATACCTCTACTTCTTCATCTTTTAAAGTACCCTTCAACCTAAATAGCCACATCTATCAGATGTACTTCAGCTTCTGAATTGCAACAGTGCATCTTGGCATATTTCTCTTCAGTAGGCAACTCAGTGACCAGGGTTTATAACAAAAATAGTATAAAGAGCTAATGATTATTGGGAGCTTAGAATGTATTAGGCACCATTGCATTAAGCACTTTACATACATTACCTTATTAGGTGCTCCATATGGAGACACCTAGGGCTGGCTTCCTGGGTGTGTGACTATTGTGATCACCCAGGGCCATCACTTGAAATTTGTAATCATTTTTGAGCAAGGGACTTGCAATTTCATTTGACATTGGGCCCAAAAATTATGTAGTCAAATTTGTGGTCTGTCCTGAAAACACTCAATAAGCCACAGTTTCCTTTACTTTCTTTTTGATGCCTAGTATATTTCCAGAGGATGGGATAGTGAGTCTCACACTGTGCTGACCAAGCCATCTCTGGAAAATGGTGCCATCATCTCCTTGGAGAAGTTCTTGAAGGGGCAGGAGTCATGTCATGGCACTTAGCATGGGATAGAAAAGTATCTGGAAGGGAGGGCTATTATTAGACAAGAGGGTGGGAATAAAGGGGAAGGGGCACAAGAGAGGGCAGTAGGAAGGATGGACATGATCACAATGTTATTCATGAATGAAAATGCCATAACGAAACACAGTATTTTAAAAAATTAACATGCTATAATAAAAATACATTTGGGAAAAAAAGAAAAGTAACTATCAGAGTTTGGGCAAGTTGACCAACTCCTCTATGACTCAGTTTCTCCCTCTCAAAAATGGGGATAATAATAATATCTAACTCTAATGAGACACAGTTCTAATATGCAATGCATACAACATTAGTTAGTATTCATTCATTATGGGTGCTTAGTCAGTACTAAACCACAAATACTGCTTGTGACATGGTGTGGATCCCTTGCTTATCTCCCAGGCCCCCTTACCCCAGGATCCCTACCTGTCCAGCAGAGCTGGTGGGTAAGTCGGCCTTCTCCATGGGCTGGGTGATCACAGAGGGGTTGCTGGAGTTGATGAGTACTGGGGTACTGATCTCCACCATGTGGTGCCCAGAGGGTGAGTGGACCATCCGGTTGAGAGTGTTCAAGGCTGTTGTAATGGAGAACTGCCCGGGTCCCTTCCTCCTGGACCCTGGACCCCTGCAGAGTGTAGGCGTGTTAGTTGTCTCGCCTCTGGGGGATGAGGACACCAGGGACAGACTTTTTGTGCGGAATGACTGATGCCCTTTGTTCTTCTCTAGGAGGTGTCTTGCGGTGAGGTTTGGCTGAAAAGACAAAAGGTCCAATAAGAAATTAATCTTTCTGATCTACTGTGAGTAGTTAAGTCCCACCCAGGCTAATTTAGAGCCAAGTCAGACACCACTTCCTTGGCACTTTGTTCAGGTGGCCATTCCTGGGTCAACATAAGAACAGCTTCCACTTTTTTTTATCAACATGTCCCAATTACTTTGTTCTATCAAGTGATTCTCCTGCAGGTATTACCCTTTTACTATGATCTGAAGGGGTTAAAAATAAACCTCCATACTTACTCTTCCCCAGCCCAGGATACTCTTCCTTTATCTGGTTCTCCCAGCCATGTTCACCAGTGGACTCTCCCCTCTTCCTTCAGTCACCCAGAGGCCCCACTGCCAGCAGCCCCTGTGCTTTCCGCCAGTGTTTTTCATTCACATTGCTTCAGATTTTTTTTTTGGTACCGGAGATCAAACTCGGGTCCTTGGGCTTATGAGGCAAGCGGCAGAACCACTGAGCTAAATCCCTGGCCTCTCCATTCACATTGTAATTGCTTACTTGCCTTTCTTTTGCTGGTTGGTCTGCTAGCCACCCAGGAAGGGAGCTTTCATTATTCTGTCCTGTATCACAGAGTGGATGCTTAGAGAGTATTTGTGGAATAATGAGTGAGTGAAGTTCCTTAAGTTAACATATTTGATAAGTGTTTGAGCCAGAATGTAAATGCATTCAGGACCCTGAATCCTTGTGTTAAGGCTGTCTTTTACTGCTTCCTTTCAGTACTTTGGCCTCTTTATCTTTTCTCCTTGTCCTATAGTTCTTAGTGGTGTGCTGATAAGTCAGCTCTCAAAAAAGGAAAAGTATGGAAGCCTCAATTTGTATAGTTTACCATTCTACCAGTGAGTTTAATAGTTGACTAGCAAAATTCTTAGAAATGTAACACTGGTTTTTCCATCTAGTACGCGTCATATCCAGTGTACCACTGTGTTATTATCTACCTTCTCCTCTATGCTTGTAAGTTTCCACTAGAAATATCTGTTGAATATCCTACCCCTGAGCACCCCCGTGGGTTCGTTTCCTTTGGAAATCTGAAATACGTTGACAAAACAAAGGTTCATATGAATTAATCCTTAAATTTCAGAACAATTACTTAAGTTTCCATTATAACCGTCACCAGTTGTTCTCTAAAACCACATGTCTCATTCTAATTTAGAAATTCAACTGTGGAGGTAAAAAGGATTTTTCCCACTTAAGAAATTTTAAAATGACAATGTGGAGAGGATTAAAATAACCAACATAGAGACTTTTAAAGCAGATGTAGTTTTTGCTTTAAGAAGTTTGTCAAATTGTGAAAAACTCATCAAGTAAGGGAATGGGTATTATTATGTCCACTTTAAAGATAAGAGAGAGAAGGAGTGACATAAATGACACAATCAGCATGTAAACTACAAAACAAGAAAATATCAGGTCGTAGGAAGGCTCCAGTGTGATAGAGAGATTGAAGGAAGTGGCTATGTTAGATTGGGAGGTCAAGGAAAACCCTCAGAAGATGACACTTAAACTGAGACAACAAATGACAAGAATGAGTTGGCCATGTGAAAATAGGCATAGGAACATGACAAGCAGAAGGATTATAAGCTAGTGGGAAAGAGAAAAACAGCTTGGCCTATTTGAGGAAAGACAGAAGAAAGAAATAGAAGGATGGCACAGAGTAGATGAGGAGAAGTAGTAAAAGGGGAGGTCCCACAGATAGGCAGAGACTAATCACACAGGGACTGGCAGGCTACAATTTTAAGTGTAACAGGAAGACTTTGGCAAGATTTGGGTAGAGGAATGACATGATCTGATTTATGCTTTTTAAAGCTCATGTTACGGTCTGCTAGTTTCTTATAGTTAAACACATCCTTAGCCTCTGACCCAACAATCCTACTCCTAGGTATTATTCAAGAGAAATGAGAAATAAAACTTATGCACACTCAAAACACTGCTGTGCAAATGTTTGTAGCAACTTCTCTTTCCTTCCTTCCTTCCTTCCCCTTCCCTTCCCCCTTCCTTCCCTCCTTCCTTCCTTCCTTCCTTCCTTCCTTCCTTCCTTCCTTCCTTCCTTCCTTTCTTTCTTTCTTTCTT